TGATAATATTTTTCAAGTAGTATTATATTGACGATACAGCATCAAACATCGAAGTACATTGTATACTTTATCTTCAGCAAGCTACATAAGAGTACAGTGAATAATTATGCACATATTTACTACCATCAATACATTTTGTATGATGAGAAAAATATTATTTTGAAAGGGAATATCAAATGTAGAAAGTGAATGGTTTAAAGAAGTATGTAAAATATACTTATGACGAACTGTAAGAGTCTCTATCATTAAGATCGATTAATAATGTTGAATGAGCCATTGTGTCTTCCTAGTTGTATCTATACCAGTACAACCATGCAAGAGAAAAACAATAGAAATAGACATTTTGACAGTCAACACTATAAATAAAAAGTCATATATGGAGAAAAGAAGCGAAGAGATTTGAAGCGTAACGTTCAATATATAAAGACTGTTGGGTCATAGATAAATCAAGTAGTCATTAACTTAAAAGAAGACGCAAATATCATATGATATGTTGAAATTAAACTAATGTGAAAAAGGGGGAAAATCTGATTATAATACTTTTTTTATCTAATTAAAAATCAGATATAATGGTGCTATAATAATTCAAGTTTAATTAAATTTAAAATAGAAAAAATCAGTATCAATATATTTTTTCTAAATAATTGATTTTTTTGTAATTTAAAATGTGATGAAATTTAGATTACAATAGTGCAATAATAATGGATTTTCAATTACGAACGAAATGATCATAAATGGATGTTTTGCTATATTTTGTATATTATTACCTTTGTTTTAATCTATTTTAATCAGACATATCGAAGATCAATGGTTTTCTTCAGTTTTCACCACGAAACCCCTAGTTTTCCATGATTTCTTCTATTTTGTAAACTTGATAAAAATTAAGGTTAAGGAAAAAAACAAATATGTTTTAATTTTTTCAGTTGATTTAAATTTGACAATTTTATTAGTTGTGTAGTTAAAACAATTAAATTTGTTAGTTAATTTATAAAGATTTGTGTATTGAGAGCGCATATAGAAAATGAATCATTTGAAAAGATTTGAATGGGTATTTATTTTATTTTAAGAAAAGTTACTGCAATTAGTTGACGATATGAGTTTTTATTCAATACAGATTGATTATTTGAAAAGAAGTGGTGAAGTATATTGGGAGTGTGAGTTTTGTAATCAAAAATGTTTTTGATTGAGGTAGATTTGATGTGATATATGTAGAAAGATGTACAAGGTATAAAGAATGATACGGTGATTTTTCTATAAATAGTTAGTAATTATCACGTATTAGATATAAGATTGGTTTTGTAAAAGTTAAGAAAATATTGATTGATTTCTTTTTGTTATGGATAAATTAATTCTCATAATACACGAGAAAGGATTATCCATGTGGGCTTAATTAAGAAGGATTTTAATTAAAGTTAAAGCGAGTTTTCAATGAGGTGTTATTATTATTTATAGTGATAATCTACTTTTTATGATGAGTGTAAGCTGAATTGTTGGGGAAGAGATATTCGTGAAGAGAAGCAGCTCACCAATATTCGTGTTTAAAATCCGTGTTTTTTCGAACGTCATTTTCTGTATTTTCAGTTTTTTGTGTATAAATGCTTTGTAACTCAATTTATTTATCTCCATTCGATATTTGATTCCTTGTTATCATGACAATTAAGTAATATGTTCAAGTTAAAAAAAAGATTTGGCATTCATAATAATAATTATGTCTGATGAACACCATACATTGCTGCTAGTAAAAAGTAAGACTGAATGTATAAGTTTCCTCAAAATTGTTATGAGTAAATAATTCAAAAATAAATTATATCATAAAATAAGCTTTTTTTTTGAATTGATGGAAGTAAATTTCAAAGAATTTAAACAACGAAAATTTGAGATATAAAATTATATTCTATTTTAATAATTTCAATTAAAAACACAAACAAAATTCAATTTAACAGTTTTTAAATGTTGAGTATTGTAGGATCAGCTGGTCTAATTAATCTTTTATTTTATTTTTCCGTTGTATTAAGAGGTTCGGACCAAACAAAAGGAGACACGGACCAGAGTTGAAACCGGTGGGGAATATCCGAACCGGTTCGGTTCGGCCGGTGATAGACGAGTTCCGAACGTTTTTTTATATCGGTAAAAATCGGCCGGCTTGCCAAAACATTTTTAATCGGTTAAAGAAAATGGCTTTAAGACCATTCAGTTTCCTTTTTTTGCTTCTATTTTAGGAAGCTTTAGGAGAAAATATCATGTCATAGTAATTTATTTTTTTAAGGTTTCTCAGAAATGAATATGTGATGTTTCTCTGGCGCAAAAAAAGAGTCAATTTACCCGACAACTGATTGATAAACTACGAATCTTGAATTTTTTCAACTAAATTTTACTAAAAAACCTTAGGTTTCTCTCAGAACGACAGTTCAAACTCAAATCTAGTCTCTAACATACATCAGCCAGGTAAATTGAGAAGTTCATCTCAAGTAACACAGTCTTTTTGATTGAGCTTTTCACAAAGCGAAATACAGTTCGATTAAAAAATAAAAAAGATACAGACGAAGAGAAGAAGATAAAATTGATAAATTCTAAGTAATACTGTTTGATTATTTTGATAAATGCATTTAAACTTGCTTTCGACATGTTTTATCAAAGAAAAATGGCATATCTAAAAAAGAATTCTAAACCGATAAAAACCGGCACAGATCGGCCGGTTTGCTGGACCGGTTCCAACTCTGACACGGACTCGACACAAATGGTATTCCTGACATTACGGACTGCTCTTGTCGTCCTCCTTCACTAACTTGAGAATGAACACAAGCTTAAATACTCTTCTTTATGGTTCAAGCTTGATAAAACAAGCTAAATTTCAATTGAGAGTACTCCCAAACGCAACAAAGTTCTAAATATAGCTAGATTTTATTGAAACTTCAACATAAAACAATATAAATATACAACATAAATTATTCGTTTTCATCTATTTCGACCTTTTTTGTTTCTCAATCTTCTAACAATTCTCTATTATTTTGCGTAAATCTCAACTTTATCTAAGATATTGTTAGGTTATCCAACTTTTCACTTTCAATATATTATAGATAAAAGATGGTTTCACTCTACTCCTCGGTATCCTTCTTGTTTATTACGAAAGAATCACGACTATATGTAATATGAATAAGATGATATGTTGGAAAAAGACAAAATAAAACATAGGTAAAATTCTAGCAAGCGCTAACACTAGAAAATTACCAAACGAATGTGAATATAGAAAAATACCTAGCTATATAATGAAAAGAGAAAATAACATATGTATATGACAAAAGATATGACACACATATATATTGAACAGAAAGAAAGAAAAAACACTTTATATCACAACCTAACAATATATAAAACACGAAATCCCAAACATAGACTTCAAATCCAAAAACTAAATTGAATTAAAACACTCTGGTCCTGAATCTCAAAGCCGTCCTTTGTTTGTTGTAAATCCATTTATGTTCGATTTTGCTTGTTTTCCAATTAATAATTGCTCTTGAATCCATTGGTGAATTTTCTCTTGGACACATTTACCTTGTGGCGACCAAAGATGAAATAAAGCATATGTATGCATTAATCCTTCACCTTCATCTAATATTACTTTTACACCTGATAATCGCATTTTTTCAGTCATATCACGAATGGTTTCAATTGATATTTCATTTGTACCAGCTGTTATATAAACTGGTGGAAATTCTTCAAATGAATTATCTTTCGGATTTATTTTACTTAGTTCTTCATCAGTCATTTCAAACCAATAAATATCTTTCCCAATTACTAATTGTCTTAAATTATATGCAAGTTTTAATGATAAATAATTATCGGTAGAGAATCTAAGATTGCTATCGAAATAATTAAGATTAGGCCATGGAGAATGTAAAACAACACCTTGTGGAACAGGTTTATTATTTGATATAATCCATTGTAAAAGATAAATCCAAAGCATTCCACCTGATGAATCACCCATTCCAATTAATCGTTGATTAATATTTGGATCAGCATCAAGTAAAACTTGATAAACATTAATAACATCTTCAATAGTTTCTTTAAGAGAATGTTCAGGTATAAGACGAAAATCAACATGAAGTATTAACATATTAAGAGACTTTGATAAATGACATTCAAAACCAGAATATGTATCAATGTCACCAAAAACAAATCCACCACCATGAAAATAAAGAATTAATGATTGATTAGAACATTTCCAATCATTTATTTGTTCATGTTGTATAGAATACATATTTATTTGATTAGTATTATATTGAAATGTATGATGTTGAACAAGACAAGATGATGATCTTGCTGGAAATAAAGCAGTTAAGATTTGTTTTGAATGATAACGAAACTGTTCAATGTCATTATTGGTCAAATCGTCATTTAAATCCAGATGAGGACGATATAATGAAATTAATTCATCTAATGCTTTTGAATCTGCATCCATTTTTATTGATCCAAGATGTAGAAATTGGAAAAGTTTATTTCGAGAGGAAAATATTCGATGAAATATTGCCATGCGATGATGTCGTGTTAATGTTAAAAGATCTTTTTCAACGAAAGGTGTAAAAAGTAATAAGGCAATAGTATTTGCCATAATATAAAACAGCCAGGTGTCAAACATTTTGCAAGAAGTTGATGGGAGCAGTCAATGATAGGGAACCTAATTTAGTCAATAAATGAAAAGAAACAGTCGTTTTTCTTTTGTTGTATACTCGGACATGAGAAATTGAAGAATTGATATTGATTAAATATGTGTGAAATGATCATGCATTCGACATGCAATACTTGTTGTTATTTATGTTTTTTTCCAAATGACATTGTTTAATAAACAAGAAATAGACATGAAGAAATGGTTTTTTTTACTAATTATGTATTATATTTGATAAAAGTCTGAAATAGTGTGACATTGATATTTACAGAGAAAAAAATTTGTATTTTTTCTGCTTGCCAATGAGTATGATTAATTAACTATAGCCATTCTTAGTCGTGTTAGTATTGTGTTTTCTGAATGGATATTGCTTAATAAAAAGACTTGAGTAGATAAGTAAACATTTTATGATTATTGTACTTTGTTTGATTAAACACAACTAAGACGTGTCAATGGATTGATAAACACGCAGTACAGCTTGATCAGGAATGTAAATCATAATGTGAGGAGTTTTTTTTTTACCTTGAGAAATTCAATAAGCAGCAAAAGTATTTTTATCCAAACAAACGAATGAGGTAGATCACAATATCTACTGTATTTTATATTTAGCAGTGTAAGTAAAAGTGTGTTGAATCGTTATGCATTTATTTATTTGAAATAAAATATTTTCTACTGTCGAATAAATATTATTTTCAAAGGGAATATCAGATAAAGAAAGGAAATGCTTTGCAAGAATGTATAAAATAATCTCATGTTGTAATCAGTAGTTTTCTTGCAGAAGAAGTAGTATTTGATAAACATTACTGAATTAAAGTGAAATCAACTAATCATGAATGCAAAAGAAAAAAGCAATAATTAAATGCTGGTTTGACTGCAATCAAATAAAACCTAATAAAGAGATGTAGAATCTATATTGATGATCTAAAAGTTATAATGATTATGTTTATAAAAGAAAAAGCAATACGAAACATCAAACTAGTAGTATCGACATGATTTGTAGGAAAAAGAAATTCAACAGGGAACTAATTGATATTTTGCAACGAGACCATATTCATATACGGTCCTTGATCGCATATCAAGAACATGTGCTACGCTCTGCGATACATCTATGTTGTTGTCTGCGACGTCTTTTCGAGTAGGGAGGGGAGAGAATGTCCAAATTTCTACCCCTATAATTAAACTTTTCTCTAAAATAGTATTTCATCAAAATGCCTACTGAAACTACATCCACGTCTTTGTGCCTTGTGAGTTAGATCTCGAAAGATACAAAATTTCAAGCGCTTTCAAACACTAGATTCCTATTTTCGAACACCATAATTTGACAAGGTTAGAGACAAATTACTACAAAACGACAATCATCAAGCGTAGATCTACCCCTTTCCTTGTAGGGACATGATCACTCGTGTAGTGTATTTTGTAGAGAATTCTTTTCTGCATCTTTTGAGATTTTGCCTGGCTCAAAGAAACCATCACAAAGAGAAAAAAACAATGACACTGTGAAAAGGATCATTCTTCAAAATTTCTAAGGACTATAAGTGTCACAAATTGGAGCATTATGATCGTCGATATTTCTCACAAATGCATTAGAATATCTAATATTTTTTTTTTTGGAACTACAAGTCTCAAGAAATGATATCAGGTCTCAGCAAGAAGATAAGGAAGAAAATAGTTAATTCTGCTTGTTTTTTCCCCAAAATATTGAGCAAAACCAACATCGACATCATTTATCAATGTACATAATCAAAAACATTCAAATTGTTTCTAATTATTTACGAACATAAGTACATAGTTGTTCTCTGGACAAATGTTATACGACCAACACTTGATAGCAATTGCGTGTGATGTCTTTGAATCAATCAAATTAAAATGCTAATAACAATCAACATAAGATTAACGATTATTTCGTTTTTTTAGTCAGAGCCTAATAAAACAAATTAGGTTTCAATTGAGGCCATTCGCAAACTCTAACCAATTCTTCAATTGAGCTATATTTTATTGATATTTTAAACATAAAAAAATATAAATATAAAACATACATTATATGTTCTCATCTACTGTATTTAGATCTCTATTATTTCTCCATCTTTTAACAATTCTATTATATTGCCTGAATATTAACTTTGTTTGACACATATACGACACAAAATCTCAAAATAATATTTATACATTCGTATAAAGCCAACTTAAATAAAAAATTCAGTTCCAAATATAATCTCATAATCACGACATGGAATTCAAATGTTAAAATCAAATTAAATCACAACACAATTATGCTGAATTCTAAAGACACTCTTTGTTTGGTGTAACCCTATTTATTTCTGATTTTGATTGTATTCCAATTAATAATTGTTTTTCAATCCATAGACGAATTTTCTTTTGGACACATTTACCTTGTGGTGACCAAAGATGAAATAAAGCAAAGGTATGCATTAATCCTTCACCTTCATCTAATATTACTTCTACATCTGATAATCTCATTTTTTCAGTCATATCACGAATCGCATCAATTGATATTTCATTTGTACCAGCTGTGATATAAAGTGGTGGAAATCCTTCAAATGAATTATCTTTTGGACTTATTCTGCTTAATTCTTCATCAGTCACTTCAAACCAATAAATATCTTTACCAATTACCAATTGTCTTAAATTATATGCAAGTTTTAATGATAAATAATTATCGTTCACGAATCTAACATTGCTATCGAAGTATTCTAAGTTAGGCCATGGAGAATGTAAAACAACACCTTGTGGAATAGGTTTATTATTTGATATAATCCATTGT